AGATCATATGCCCTTATTCTTAGCTCATCTGCCTTAAAATTTCCAGTTGAGAAGGCTCATTACTGTTAACCATTTTGAAAACAATTTGAGCTCTTCAGATTACTGTTACTACTCTTATCATTATTAGTTATTTGAGATGCAGATAGTAGAGTTTTGACCACAGTGGTCTCTGAGCTTAAATGTAATCCCAGTCTCCCATGTGAGTGGCAGGAGCCAAATGACTTGAACCATCATTGCTGCTTCCCGGAGTCTGCATTGACAGGAAGCTCAGATCAGCTCAGATTAGTTGAGCTGCACATTCAACACAGGCCATCTTCTACTGCTGTCCCAGGCCACAGCAGAGAGCTGGATTGGAAGTGGAGCAGCTGGGACTTGAACCAATACCCATATGGGATGCGGGCACTACAGACTGGAGCTTTAACCCACTGCACCACAGTGCCGGCCCTCCAACTTCCATACTTCTGCCAGACATACAGTTCATATACATACAATAGATATTTGCTTATGTCATTTATTTACGTGACCCACACCATAAAATACAGGACGTGTTTTTACGTGGTCCCAGTTTATTTGTTTTATGTTTATTTATTTTCATCTATGTGAAAGGCAGAGTAAGAGAGAGAGCCACAAAGATTGTGAAAGAGAGAGATTTTTTATCTGCTGGTTCACTTCCCAAATGTCAGCAACAGCCAGGGCTGTTGGATGAAGACAGGAGCCTGGGACTTCCTCCGGGTATCCCACATGTGTCAGGGATCTGCTGCCTTCCAGGATGGTTTAGCATGTAGCTGGATCAGAGCGGAGTAGCTAGGACTCAGATTGGCATTCTGATGGGATTCCGGTGTCCCCTACCCCACTGCACTAAAACACCCAACCCCTGACCCCAGCTTTCCATCGAGGCTTCCTGATGCATCTCTCTCCTTAAATTAATGTGTAGTCTGGCCTAGGTCCCAAGAGACTGAAACTGTCACAATATATCCAGCACTTTCATGTCACCCCTACCACATCGAATGACATTTTTTGGATATATGGAAAACCTCTATCAATATTTTAAGGTTGGCTGGCACTGTGGCTCACTTGGTTAATCCTCCTCCTGTGGCTCTGGCATCCCATATGGGTGCTGGGTTCTAGTCCTGGTTGTTCCTGTTCCAGTCCAGCTCTCTGCTGTGGCCCGGGAGGGCAGTGGAGGATGGCCCAAGTGCTTGGGCCCTGCACCCGTATGAGAGACCAGGAAGAAGCACCTGGCTCCTGGCTTCGGATTGGCGCAGCACGCCGGCTGTGGCGGCCATTTGGGGGGTGAACCAGCGGAAGGAAGACCTGTCTCTCTGTCTCTCTCTCTCTCACTGTCAATAACTCTACCTGTCAAATAAAAAAATATTTTAAGATTACTTAAATTTTTATTTAAGTAACTTAATTTAAGGTTACTTAAATATTTTAAGGTTACTTAGCCTTTTGGCTAAGATCAATTGTAATTTTTAAGGTTAGTTCAAATGTTATTGCAATTTGTAAAATCATCAATATCTGCTAATTTATTTATATATGTTCATTCTACTATATAGGTATGCACCCTATTAACTATGTACATATTTTTATATTTATTAAGTTTGCAAAGCATTTGAAAAATAAGTGTATGAATCTCATTATATATGCCTCTCTAAAAAACAAGTTTTAATTTAATACTATATTCTATTGCTCAACAGAGGTCTGTTTCTAAGAGGAAATGATTTCAAAATATATTTTATGTACCTCTTATTATTGAAAGGGAGAACCTTCCGATATCATAGTAACCCAAATTTAATAAATGCATCACCAATTATGCTTATAGTATTAGACAAATTTGGAAAAGGTATGTGTTGAAATTTAGCTCCTAAATCATCACTTTTTTTTTGTATGAGATGAAATGTTCTTGAAAATTCAACAGGAAGTTTACAGTTTGAAATCTGATGAAATCATTCACTTAATGATTCAAAGGTTCTGTGTCCAAATGTCTTAAGTATGAAAAAAAGGAGAATGGCCGGCGCCGCGGCTCACTAGGCTAATCCTCCACCTTGCGGCACCGGCACACGGGGTTCTAGTCCCGGTCGGGGCGCCGGATTCTGTCCCAGTTGCCCCTCTTCCAGGCCAGCTCTCTGCTGTGGCCAGGGAGTGCAGCGGAGGATGGCCCAGGTCCTTGGGCCCTGCACCCGCATGGGAGACCGGGAGAAGCACCTGGCTCCTGGCTTCAGATCAGCGCGGTGCGCCGGCTGCAGTGGCCATTGAGGGCTGAACCAACGGAAAAGGAAGACCTTTCTCTCTGTCTCTCTCTCTCACTGTCCACTCTGCCTGTCAAAAAAGAAAGGAAGGAAGGAAGGAAGGAAGGAAGGAGGGAGGGAGGGAGGGAGGGAAGGAAGGAAGGAAGGAAGGAAGGAAGGAAGGAAGGAAGGAAGGAAGGAAGGAAGGAAGGAAGGAAGGAAAGGAGAATGTTATTCATGGTACACTTAGAAAATCCTTAAAGAATATCTGAACATTTTCAGGCATTCTTTTTTAGAGATTATTTTTTCATAGAAGCAGTTGCTTTCAAAAAAGAGTTGTTTTCTCATTGAGAAAAGAGTTCTGTGTCTGGAAGACAGCAGTCCCATTTGTTGATTTTGTTGCTGTCTGCAGAGTGGCCCGCAGCTGACTGGCTTTGCTTTCCCTTAGACGTGTGTGAGGAAGAGCTTGGCAGAGTGATGTGTGGTTCTGCAGTTTTCTTGTTGTTTGCTTGTGCTTGCAATTAGCAGTATTAGCAACCATGGTTTCTTTACAGGGCAGTTTGTAAGACTTTTGCTAACTTGCTGTTAGTTTCATTACATGGATAATGTATTTGATAAACCAGGCATGTATATATTTTTTTAACATTTATTTAACAAATATGTTTCCAAAGTACAGCTTATAGATTACAGTGGCTGTTTCCTCCCCCCATAAGTTCCCTCCCACTCGCAACCCTCCCATCTCCCACTCCCTCTCCCATTCCATTCACTTCAAGATTCATTTTCAATTATCTTTATATACAGAAGATCAATTTAGTATATATTAAGAAAAGATTTCAACAGTTTGCACCCACACAGAAACACAAAGTGTAAAGTACTGTTTGAGTACTAGTTATAGCATTACTTCACATTGGACAACACATTAAGGACAGAGATCCTACATGCGGAGTAAGTGCACAGTGACTCCTGTTGTTGATTTAACAATTGACACTCTTGTTTATGGCATCACTAATCATCCTAGGCTCTTTTCTTTTCTTTTCTTTTCTTTTCTTTTTTTTTTTTTTTTTTTGACAGGCAGAGTGGACAGTGAGAGAAAGAGACAGAGAGATAGGTCTTCCTTTTGCTGTTGGTTCACCCTCCAATGGCCGCTGTGGCCAGCGCGCTGCGACTGGCGCACTGAGCTGATCCGAAGCCAGGAGCCAGGTTCTTCTCCTAATCTCCCATGCTGGTGCAAGTGCAGGGCCCAAGGACTTGGGCCATCCTACACTGCACTCCCAGGCCATAGCAGAGAGCTGACCTGGAAGAGGAGCAACCGGGACAGAATCTGGCACCCCGACTGGGACTAGAACCCGGTGTGCCGGCGCTGCAAGTGGAGGATTAGCCTATTGAGGCGCAGCGCTGGCCCTAGGCTCTTGTCATGAGTTGCCAAGGCTATGGAAGACTTTTGAGTTCGCCAACTCAGATCTTATTTAGACAAGGCCATAGTCAAAGTGGAAGTTCTCTCCTCCCTTCAGAGAAAGGTACCTCCTACTTTGACAGCCTGTTCTTTCCACTGGGATCTCACTCGCAGAGATCTTTCATTTAGGATTTTTTTTTTTTTTTGCCAGAGTATCTTGGCTTTCCATGCCTAAAATACTCTCATGGGCTTTTTAGCCAGATCCAAATGCCTGAAAGGCTGATTCTGAGGCCAGAGTGCTGTTTAGGGCATCTGCCATTTTATGAGTCTGCTGTGTATCCCGCTTCCCATGTTGGATGGTTCTCTTCCTTTTTAATTCTATCAGTTAATATTAGCAGACACTAGTCTTGTTTATGTGTTCCCTTTGACTCTTAATCCTATCATTATGATCAATTGTGAACAGAAATTGATCACTTTGACTAATGAGATGGCATTGGTCCATGCCACCTTGATGGGATTGAATTGGAATCCCCTGGCACGTTTCTAACTCTGCCATTTGGGGCAAGTCCGATTGAGCGTGTGTCAAACTGTACATCTCCTCCCTCTTTTATTCCCACTCTTATATTTGACAGGGATCAAGTGAAATAATCCAGTCCCAAAGGGACAAATATCATATGTTCTCCCTGATCGGTGACAACTAACTGAGCACCGAAAAGGAAACCCATTGAAGTGAAATGGACACTATGAGAAACAGTGACTTGATCAGCCCTTGTCCTGAATGTTGATGAACAACTTAATACTTTATCCCTTTTAGTATTTTTTTGTTCTACTTAATACTACTGGTTGAACTCTTTAATTGAAACACAATTATTCTTAGGTGTTTAAATTTAACTGAAAAGTGATCCCAGGCATGTATACATTGAAGTGCACTGGAAGCTCAGAAAGGAAAGAAGTTATTTCAGGTTCTCCTTTTGCTAGTGTATGTCTCAAGACTGGGTGATATACAGATACTTTAGGTCACTAGATTTGTACAAATGCCCACTATTATTAAAGATTATTTCAGTCCTCATTTTTAGATTAATAATAAAACATCCATGAAGTTCTTAGAAAAAAAGAATCATTCTGAAATTTTAAATAAATCAAGCATCCATAGGACAGTGTACTTAGCTTTGTTATAACTTTTATTACTTTGTATTTCACTTGTTCTCTTGTTGACAGAGAAAGTTTTCTGAGGTAGAGAATTTTTGAATCCTAGCCGAGAGCATAGAATGTGTTTGTAGATATTACAACACTTTGCTGCTTAGAGATTGAATTAATGTTTTGCCCCTCTCCAACATGAACACCATACTTACTAATGCAGTTGCATCTGATTATTCCAGGTACTGGTCCCATTTGGCTGAATGAAGTACCCTGTTTGGGGATGGAGTCATCCATTGAAGAGTGCAAAATCAGACAGTGGGGCGTGAGAGTCTGTTCACATGGGGAAGATGCTGGCGTCACCTGCACTTTGTGATATATATTTACTCATTCTTGACATATCACTTTAATAACATCGCTCCACTAAAATCATAACTGGAGATCTAAGATATAAAGACTACTGTTCAAAGAAAATATTTATCAATCATTAAATAAGCATATTTAACACCTTCATACTTACTGCATACATATACGTTGACTATTTAACCCCTTTAAGTTCTTACCTGAAAATTAAAATGTGATGATTTATGCATTATACTGTATATATTTAAGGCTTTTGGATCCTGAAGACCAGCAGTAATGAAAAGTACAAATCAAGGACTCCAGTTTGTGATGTGTTCATGAGATTGTAAATTTTGTCATTTTTGTCTTCTTTGCAACCTATTTAGTTGATTTTAATTACTTTCTGAATAATGGGATACTTGAGAAGACTTCTTTTGTGCCTAGTTTGCAGAATCTCCAACACATATACATTTTTAAAGGAAGGATATTACCACATTTTAAGATCTCTGAATATACAATAACCTGTCTTTATCATAAGGGGACAGGGAGAGTATTGAATATAGTCACTTATTGATGGTTGTTTTACTCAATCATGGAGCATGCATGAACAAACAGTAGTTTTTTGTGTTGACTGTTCATGGCTAAAGACCATAGTGATTTAATGCAGTAGCATTAAAAGCACCCAAAGTCAAGATGAGTGGGAAATCCTCTATATACATGCATTTTGGATATTAAGATTAAGCTGAATAATTTGTTTGTTATAGTTCTAAAAGAATGTTTAAAGTGTAGCTGAACCTAATCATTTTATGTTACCAAATAGAATTAATGTCTTGAGTGCAGAAAGCAGTTCAACTGACCATCTTTGGACTCTTTCATTCAGACAGTAAACATTTGCAACTCTAGAGGCATCCTCAGCCCAAAAGGACAATAACTCTACGTATGTAAGTGAAAGCCTTCTAAGAATAGTCAGCGCATCCTGAGTGCCATGTCCTAGAGCATGAAAGGCCACCCTGGAACCAAGTAATGTGTACCTTGAATGTGACGATCTAAGGGTGAAAGTAGAGAGACCAGAAGTTGTGTTAAAGCCCAACTGAATCTAATTTTGGCCCCGAGAAGAACAGAATTTTCAAGTTTTCTATGTTTAATTTATAGAAACATGTGATTAAAATAACACAATCATAGAATTGCTCTACTGTTCTTTACTTACTGATGAAAAGCCAAAGTATAGACAAGTAAAAGAATTTTTTTTATATTCTGATGTATTTCCACAAAAATAGTAACCATGTCTTAGAAGGACTGCCCTTCCACTCGAAAAGGCAAAAATGTTATCTTGAAATCAGAACTATTTGAAATGTCTTTCTAAAAATGTATTTTTATCATATTACATCTACTTGTTGAACAAACAGATGGCTTTCTCAAGCAGTGTGATTGTGTGATTGAGCGAATGGATCCTGAATCTAGACTGACAGTTTAAAACCCTAGCTATATCTTCAGATAGTTTTTAATTTTCTTTGTAAAATCCCACTGTCTAGGTATTTCCTTCAAAAGTACATAAGATGATTTTAAAAAGAATTATTTGAGAGCAGACATTTGGCACAGTGGCAGTCACTTGGGATGCCCACATCCCATATCAGAGTACATGGTTCAAGTCCAGTTTCCTCTACTTCCAATCCTGTTTGCTGATAATGTACACCCTAAGAGTGCTCAAGTACTCAGATCCCTGCCACCATATGGGGTTCCAAGATTTAATTTTGGGCTCCTGGCTTCAGCCTAACCAGCCTGATTTTTGTGGGAATTGGGGGAGTGAACCAGTTATGGAAGATCTCTCTCTCTCTCTCTGTCTCTCTCCCTCCCTCTCCTTTCAAATAAAATAAAAATAAATACATTTTATAAAAAGGAATCATTTGCTTTATCATCCTGCATGAGATGTTAGAGATTAGTGCCTGTGAGTGGTAAATATTATACTGCTATTTTGTATATGCATTCTGATTTCCCACTTATGTGGGGATTTCCTACACTTTCTATATGTATAGAAAGTTTTATCTTTAGTAAATAATCCAAAACTACTTTTGGTGAGTGTGGTAATATATCAAACTCACCCCAGTTTAGAAAATAATTTAGTAGTGCCAGCATAACTTGAAGGCTAGGTTTGTTTGAAATAGTGCATTGAATGAAGCCCTTCAAGAAGCATTAATTTCGTCTTAAAAAAAAAAAAAAAGCTGGCTAAAATCAATGTATTCTATTTGGCTAACTAGCATGAAAAAATATAAAGTGAACATTTTTAAAGGAGCAAAAAAAGAAAGGAGATGTAGAAAATATAGAATAGGGCAGGGTGTTATGGTCCAGTGGGTTAAGCTACTGTTTAGGACTCCTGTATCCCAAATCAGAATACAAATTCTTGTCCTGACTAAGCTGCATCTGATACAGCTTCCTGTTAATGCATCCCAGAAGGTAGCAGGTGATGGGACAAGTGCTTGGACTCTTGCCTCCCATGTGGGAGACCCAGGTTGAGTTCCAGGCTCCTGGCGCCAGCCTGGCCCTGCCCTGCTGTTATGGGCATTTGGAGAGTGAACTAGCAGTTAGAGGACATGTCTATCTGTCTCTCCGTCTGACTCTGTCGTGTGTGTGTGTGTATGTGTGTGTGTGTGTGTGTGTAACTCTGCTGTTCAAATGGATGAAAATAAATAAATACTATGTTTTTATTAAATCCCTCAACTTTAAGGAAAAATAAAATGAAGAATAACAGATGATATTTAAAGACCAAACATATTTTACCTTAATCATTTGAAAATACAGTATCAAATCAAATTTTCAATTTTTCCAAAACTTAAGAATAATAGTGAACTATTGAATTGAAGCATAACCTATTACAAATCACATATAATCTTTGCTATTATTGGATAAATGGAACATTAAGAGCCCCTAATTTATGTATGATCAAGATGAGCAATTGTATGCATGCCCAAGTCAATAATGGTCAAGAGAAAGAAACTAATTATCATTGGCTTATATTAATAAACATTATTTGCACCCCACAGTAGAGAACCACAAGACCCATGAAGCTCACAGGCCCAGGAAAATGAAATTAAATAAAAACTCTGGCCAAGAGGAGAAAGAAGTACATGCATGTCAGGTAGACAATTAACGGTTGCCTCACAAAGTGTCACTAAGGAGACAGTTATGTTGAGATTTTTAAAATTCTTTTAAATAGAATATAAAAATTATAGAAATATCTTTTTGGCACTAGATGCAACTTTTGATTAGTGTATAACCATAATATAGCCTCATTAAAAAACTATAGATTTTCCATTTTTTCTATAGCAAATATTAACAGATGATAAGTGATTTTCCTTTCATCAAATCCCTTTTCTTTGCATATTACATAATGGAAAACTGCATTTCTTATTGTTATTTATCAGCTATTTTGTTTATCAGTATAATTTATATTTAGAATTTTATTTATGTCACTTTAAACCCTTAAAACCTCAACAAAAGACCTGTTTCAGGCATAGGTTATTACTGAGTACATCTACTTAAGCAAAAAAAAAAAAAGGCGGGGGTACAAGATTTGCAAAATGGAGTAGCCAGCTCCATGCACTTGTTTCCCCCACAGAAACGCTGAAAAAGAAGTAGAAACTGTAAAAGCAACCTGTCAGGACTCTGAAGACTCCAGCTTTTACAGTAACAAAGCGAAGATTGAGTGAAGAGACAGGCATGAGCAGGAAAGCTTTATGACATTTTACTTGCCCTCATATCACCCCATGGATGCAGCATCATTGGTGAGCTTGGTGACTTGGAACCACAGTCGCTGGTTCCCGAAGCAGAGAAGATTGTCTTCACAAATGACTATACATGTCTGTTCCAACCATCAGAGAAACTACCCGGCAGACTACTATAAGCCATTCGTCTTTGCTTCACTTAACTTGGAACTCAGACCAGAGAAGAGCAAGCACTGTTTAAACATGGCAAGTTGGACGGCTCACTAGGCTAATCCTCCACCTGCGGCGCCGCCACCCCGGGTTCTAGTCCCGGCCGGGGTGCTGGATTCTGTCCCAGTTGCTCCTCTTCCAGTCCAGCTCTCTGCTGTTGCCAAGGAGGGCAGTGGAAGATGGCACAAGTCACTGGGCCCTGCACAGGCATGGGAGACCAGGAGAAGCACCTGGCTCCTGGCTTCGGATCAGCGGGGTGCGCTGGTTGCAGCACACCGGCCGCAGCGGCCATTGCGGGGTGAACCAACGGAAAAGGAAGACCTTTCTCTCTCTCTCTCTCTCTCTCTCTCTCTCACTGTCCACTCTGCCTGTCCAAAAAAAAAAAAAAAAAATGGCAAGTTGAACTAACAACACTCAGTTCCCTAGAGCACTCACAGAAGAAACATAAACTAGACTGAGAAAGGATTGGTGGCAAAAGCCAAGGAGAACATTGATGAGAAATTGGGAAATTTTAAAAAACAAAACAACAATAATTTTAAAAACTATACATACAGGGAAATTTAGAAAGTTATGCTCATGCACAAGGCAAAATGCATGTAAAGAAAAGACCTATAAAGAACCTATACTTTCACCTTAGGTTGATCTCTATGTTCATTGTAAATCCCGATAAAAATTGAAGGCATGCCCCAGTACCAAATAAATATATTATTTATATAATAAATTAGTGACAGGTGAGTCACTAAACAAAGACAAGCAAAAAAGTTAACTGTGGGAAAGGGGAGAATCTGCTCTTTAGAGTTACTATATTTAAATATTCAAATGTCCAGTGTTGAACAACAACAACAAATCAGAAACCATACAAAGAAACAAGAAAGTATGATTCATTGAAATAAGTAAAGAAATGGGCCGGTGCTGCAGCTCACTAGGCTAATCCTCCACCTGCAGCGCTGGTACCCCGGGTTCTAGTCCCAGTCGGGGCACTGGATTCTGTCTTGGTTGCCCCTCTTCCAGTCCAGCTCTCTGCTGTGGCCCAGGAGTGCAGTGGAGGATGGCCCAGGTCCTTGGGCCCTGCACCTGAATGGAAGACTAGGAGGAAGCACCTGGCTTCTGGCTTCGGATCTGCCATGGCTGCCAGCCGTGGCGGCCATTTGGGAGGTGAACCAACTGAAGGAAGACCTCTCTCTCTCTCTCTCTCTCACTGTCTAACTCTGCCTGTCCAAAAAAAGAAAGAAAGAAAGAAGTAAAGAAATGGTCACTGAGGAAGTCAGATGTTAAACTTTACTGAAGGGGTACAACAGAACAAGTAGAGGAAGAATGAGTTAAT